AATAAGAATTATTAGCATTTTTTTGCTTGTTTAATTGATTTGTAAAAGTTGATTTGTTTAATTGATGTGTAAATAATTCTTATTTGTGCTTATTTAATTGATTGAAATGTAAAAGTTGATTTGTTGATTTCAATCTGCATCATATTGAAGGCAAAAGACCTGTTGAAGGTACACTTTCGCAACGCTAAACTCAAAATCGTAATACGAAAGCCAATCGCAACGCGAAAGTCAATTCGCGTTGCGATAGTCTAATACTCTTTGTGATTTTCCCGTTGCGATAATCAAATTCACGTTGCGATAGTCAAATTCGCGTTGCGATAGTCAAATTCGCGTTGCGATATTCAAATGAATGTGTAATAAGTGATAACAACTGAACAGATCATAGCAATGTTCAAACTCAAGTTACTAATACATGCCTAACTGAAAATGTTAAAAGTTTATACATAAAATACACATAATAGTCAAATTCGCGTTGCGATATTCAAATGAATGTGTAATAAGTGATAACAACTGAACAGATCATAGTAATGTTCAAACTCAAGTTACTAATACATGCCTAACTAAAAATGTTAAAAGTTTACATATAAAATACACATAATACAACGTTTGCATTTAAAAATCACCTAAGTTAATAGTCCCAAAAGGTGAAGCCGGTTGTGATTGGGATTTTTATTTTGATTGCGATTTTGATTTTGATTGCCTTTTTCTTGACACCATATGAGCTTTGGATTTTGATGAGGATCCATATTTTGGTAGAGGAAAAGATGATTGTGATGGCACTGGTGATCCACATGTCAACCTTGTATGACCACTTTCCTTGCACCGACTACATGTCGATCTCTTCTTCTCTTCACCCTTAGACGGTATACGATCGTGAGTTTTTGGTCAGCCAGGTAGCCTTTTGTCCATGGCTGGTGGCAAAACTGTTTGTAAGTCATCTGGTATGTCCCACTCAGAAGGATGTGGAATAAGGTAGATAATCTCGGCATAAGTCTGTCGATATACTTCTATAGTGTAGCAATCCATAGCGTATGCGCTTGAATCATCTTGGTTGAGATGAAGAGAAACTTTTATAACATGGCCACACGGATAACCAGATGTTTGCCATTTCATACAACTACACGTCTTTGCATTTAGATCGACAAGCCCATTTAAGTTATTATCCAGTACTTCAAACAAAGTGTTTGAACATGGTTCAACTCTCCATGACGTTGACTTCACAACACGTTTCGTTATCTTTTTTTCAGTCCATGGTGTAACACGATGTTCCAATGTTCCTGTAAATTTAAATAAATAATACTTAGTAAAATATATGATAAGTTACAAATTTAAAGAAATAATACATGCTTGGTTTCTTTTCTTGTAGTACCATTGTTGAATAGAGGCTCAAAAAAACTCCATTAACATAGTAATGGGTAATTTCCGGGAATGACGACTTAGAACGTTGATTGATTCTGCACTATTAGACGTCATGAAACCATATCTTGCTCCAAGTTGATGTACTCTTGACCATCTTTCAAACCCGACATCTTCTAGTGTTTTAGCACACTGAGGCAAAACTCTAGTGTTTTAGCACACTGAGGCAAACACGTCTAAACATATATGCTTATTAAAATCCACTTCCCGATAAGCTTTTACAGCCTTCCAGTATGTCCATTTGTGATTTTTATACCAACAGACCTGATTTTAGATTTCTATAAATGAACACCACAAAGTCCATGAAAACATCTGGGAAACACCTTCTAACAGCATTGTCAATTGAGTTTGCCCTATCGGATATGATTGTCAGATTGCTAATAGGACCTATGCAATCCCTAAGATGCCCCATAAACCATGTCCATGAATCAGATGTTTCAGATTTGCCAACCCCGTAAGCTATTGGCAGTATCCCATTGTTAGCATCCATGGCTACTGCTAATAAGTTTACTCCAAGGTATCGACCTTTTAAATGTGCTCTGTCAACTATAATAACTGGGCGCATGCAAGTAATAAACGAACGAATCTACAAAATCATATACACAAGAAATATAATCATTTAAATGTGAAATGCATTAACTAACAAAAATGAGTCAACAAAATTATATTGATTTACTAACAACAGCACCAATGGCGATAAACAGCAACTCAAAGCGTCCATCTCTATCTGTTTTCATATGAGTTACCGACCCAGGATTTTTCAGCTTTAAATTGTGACAATAAGCCAGCAGTTGGGCAAACGATGCTTCTGGCGACCCCCCCTCAAACAATTCCAAGGCATAACATTTGGCCCTCCAAGCTGAGAATATGAGATACTAATCTTGAACCGAGCATTCATGTCAGTCATAATTTGTCCCCGATATATCATGTCATTCAAACATTAACTCAGCCAGAAAACCACCCAACACCTTTTTGTTTGCCTGTCTATGGTGAGGAAAAACTTGGGTTCTTGAACATGTATGTTTATCAATAAAAGTCCTAAATTGAAACATTTCGCAATCTTTTATCCTCTTTTCAATCATACGCCACGTACAATTTTTGTCAATCATATACCTTGTTTCGAAACGATCTTTGCTTGATTTGTTAACTTTTAGTTGATAGCCATCTTCCACACATTTCGTATACAAAGCTATCTTCAAGTCTTCCTTTGTATCAAAACAATTATCTTTCTTGATACGAATAATTTTTGTGTAACAATCAACTGCTATTTTTACCAACTCTTCTTCCGGTATCTGAAGTAATTCTGGTATATTCCAGTTATACTCCCGTGGTATTTTCTTCGGGGATTTCTTCTTCTTTTTCTTCTTCAGGGTTATATGAATTACAGAATGGATGTTCAACATATTTTTTCACAGTCGTAACTTCATCCTCATTATCATCAACAACATCTTCCTCGGTAGTGGCTGTTTCATCATCAAAATTTGGGTATTGACCAATCAAAATTATTACACGCAGGGTCTGTTTCTTCTTCCGAAACATCATCAAAATCCGAGTATTGACCAAGATCAAAGTCCGGGTATTGACCAAGATCAAAGTCCGGGTATTGACCAAGATCAAATTTCGAATACTGACTAGTACTCACAATTTTTTCTGTTGGCTCATCATCGTCTAATTGGTCAATACGAAACCGGAATTGTGTGCTGAAAGTTTATTGGGATTTGGATTAGGGAAAGGTTGTGGGTTTTGAGATTGTGTTTGGTATTGGAAATGTGGTGAAACAAAATTTTCTTGGTGATGAAATTGTGGTGGAACCATTAAATTTTGAGCACACTAAACTGGTTGAAAAACTTAGTTGATTACTACCCGCTACTGACCCAACTTCACTACTCCTAGGTTCAACAACATACAATGTAACATCATCTTGCGAAACACTAATGTAAGCAATGAATCGTTCAACATCTTCATTGTTGTTAACAAATAAACTTTACCTTTTCTCTGATAAGATAGCCTAAATCCACTTAAGGGCTCTAAATTCAATTTATTTGCAACACGTAACATTAGAGTTTCATAAGTTAACTTTTTAATGACAGTTTAGTGAAGATTCATGGGTAAAGACATATATGTAAAACACCATGAACATTCTCCCATGACCCTCCAAAACACAAATCTATCCAAACATGATCAACATTAGATGATTTCATTATTGTAAATTAATTTACTAAACAAACGAGCTACGAAACTAAAACATGTTGTCGGATGGGGAAGGATGACGTTGGATATAGGAACGGATGTCGCCGGAGAGAGTGATAGATGGAGATGGAATGAGTTGCGATTTAGGGATTTAGGTTATGAGTTACTACTGCTGTGTAATTATATACCCAAAACATTTGTGTTGCGAAACTAAAACCTGTTGCGAATTTGAAATTCAGCGTTGCGACAGTCAGAATCGCGTTGCGATAGTCAGAATCGCGTTGCGATTTACATATTCGCATTGCGATTTTCTAAAATCACAACGCGAATTTGGAAAATCGCAATGTGATAGTCAAAATCGCGTTGCGAATCTGGAAACTGATTTGCGATACTGGAGATCGCGTTGCGATTTAGAGATCGCATTGCAATTTTGTTGGTCATTTTGGCAAATCGAAAAAAAGTTGATCAAAATCGTATATTATAAGGAATTTTCGGTCACTGAGGTTATTTTCTCTATAAATTATTATCGATATATTTTATCTCTTTAAAATTTTATGTGAACAAATGAATTTATGATATTTATAAAATTTTATTTTATTAGTACAATATTATAGTAAATAATTGACATTCACAAAAATATTATATATAGAAAATATCCCTCCAAAAGATAATGATGAGTTCCGTCATTGAAGGTGAATATTACCGGACATTAAACGAACATTAAATTAATGTGTTTGTAAATGTTAAACGAATATATTCAAAAATGTTAAACAAATATATTTACAAACACTAAACGAACGAACATGAATATTTTCAAAAATAAATCAACGAACACCTTCAAAAGTAAAACGAACATAAACACCAGTGGCAGATGCATGTATTGTTCAGGGTGGACATGTGTCTACCCTAAAATTTGAATTACTTTATGTGAGTTGTTTATTTTACTAAATGTGTCTACCCTGAAATTTTATTTATGCTCACCTCATACGAGATTTTTTTATTATTAATACATATATATACGTCCATCCTGAAAAATATTTTTGGATCTATCAATGATAAATACGATACTAAAAATTTAAATGAATATGAATCAAACATGAATACTTTCAACGAATACATACATCAAACTGGATTCATTTAGCAACTATTTAATTCACAAACGATCAAGGTAAAATTCTAAGGCTTTAGCAACAACCGCACTTCTTATGTCTGCCTAAACCGAACTAAAATCTTTAATAATATATCTTAAATTAAAATAAGTTTGAACAAGCACACGAGCTTAAACCGAACTAAATCTTTAATTACATATCAGAATAATGAATGATAAATCTCTTTCATATATACAGCAATTACCAAAGAATAAATCAATGAAAGATAATCATTTCACACAAAATACAAAACAAAAGCAATTACTTAATTTCAGGTTCTTCAGGAAATTCCTGAGTCGGCGATCTTAATAAACTCGCCGACGTGGGTGATGGCTCAACTCCTTGCGGCAAATCCGAGACGGCGGCCAGAATCCGTCGAATGCTAACGGAACGAGCGCGCCTGAAGCTGAACGATCTCATCTTGTTGGTGGTGCAGAAAATATTAGACGACTTTGAAAGTATGAGATAAACCAGTGCTTGAACAATCACGAATACGAACACCTTAACCAACGAATCTGCCAACATCTCTGCAACTTCCATAATTACTGTTTCTTCAACGATGAATTAACCAGCGGTTTTTCTATGAAAGATGAGTTTCGAAAATATAACAATAGGCTTCGTACAGTGGTAATGAAAGAAGTAATTCCCAGAAAATATGAAGAGAAAATGGTTAGGGTATGATTTATATATAAAGGGAAGATAAAGAAGATTGGATGGTGACCAGTTGGCACACGGCGAACCCACCGATTGACTTGTCGCCCAAGCCTTGAAGTTATATGATGACTGCACGTTATTGGATAAGAGAATGTAAGAAGCGAAAATGGCTGCGGTTCCTTGTAAGAATTAAATTATAACAATTCTTTGTTATCATTTCGCACGTGATTATTTTACCTTTTTATTCTCAAATTATTATCCATTAGCTTTGGATAGTGTCGGGTCAAGTTTAATTATCTTTTCTATAATATTTTTGTTCAATATTGTAATTACACAATTTTAAATATATTTAAAGTGTGAATCAGATGATTTAAGCAATTAAATGAATGATTATTAATTTTAGATTTATTAGGTTTAAACAATATGTTTATAAGGATAATTGAACGATTATTATCAAATAATTAAAAATATGAATATATAACATCTTTTAATTATTCTAAATTAATAAGCCTCTATTTTTCTGTTGGAAAATAGTTAAAAATACACTCTGTTGGAAACTTGGAATCCAAATTAAACAACCCAACTCTTTTTCCCGGTACAATGTATCTTTTTTGTTTTGATTTATAAAAAGTAATGATTTTAATTTTATAATTATTCTTTCTATAATAATATCAATCAATTTTTAATTAAAAATAAATATAATATGTCTTATGATTACATTCAAAATATTACTATAATAGTATTTATGTATTCAAATGTTAATGTCTGAATTTGCTTTATAATGGAATTTATCACTTATTTTCACTATAGTAAAACTGTTCTGTAACGGCGTTTTTAGTGGCGTTTGGAGAGAAAACGCTACAAAAGTTAAACATATAGTAGTATATACAATCGTAACGCCACAAATTGATACTTTAGTGGCGTTTGTTATACAAACGTTGCAATAGAGTTGACATATAACGGCATTTTTATGAAAATGCCGCAATAGGGTGGTTTATAATGGCGTTTTCCAAAAAACGCAGCAATGAAGAATAGTTTAGCGTCGTTTATAGACAAACGCCACAGTAGGGTTAATTAATGGCGGCGTTTATTGTAAAAACGCCGTAATAGAGTATAAATTTTGCGGCTTTTTAGCCCAAACTCCGCAATAGAGTGGTAAATTAGCGGCTTTTATACCACAAACACTGCAATAGAGTATACATATAGCGACATTTATTCCTCAAACGCCGCAATAGTGCTAATCAATAGTGGTGTTTTTTGACAAACGCCACAATAGTGGCTTTTTTTTGTATAAACGTCACAAAAACATGTGATATAGTGGTTTTTTTTAAAAACGCCGCAAAATGTTAAATATATGGTCCTTTTTTCCTTGTACCTAAACCCTAAAATCATTTAAACTCTTCTTCCCTCAAAGCTTCTTCCCTGGTACAACAACATCTCTCAAATGATTCCAAGCGACGTCGCCTTTTGTATGTCCCGAAGACCAAATCGGGCCTCTCACCGACGAGCTATAACACAATTGCACGGTTTGATCCATCTTATCAGTAATGATATTTTTCATTTTTTTTGGTATTCTGAAAATGGGGAAAACCCATAAAGCTAACTTATTTGAGAAAAAAAGAGTAGGTGTTGCCTTGACTAAGAGAAATTATCGTCAGAATATCTACGTGGCGTATTTGCTCTGACGATGGATCAAATTATCGTTGGGAGGATATCGGTCCGGTCTCGCCGTTGAAACTCGATGATGATCCGAAAGGAAATTCTATTGCTCTATACCCTTCCATGGCCGATCTCCTTCTTGAAGGTAATAATCTATGAATCTTTCAGCCGTTATAATTTGTTTTTCTACGTTCAGTCAAATTTCATAGATCGTACGCATGTAGGATCTTCGAAGCTTATTGAGAACGGTGATAGAGGAGTGGATAAATACCCGATGTTTAGAACCGAATTTGGTAACTTTGTGGCATTGAAAGAATCTTCAATTGCAAAAGCAGTATCTATCCTCAATGAAGATGAAGTTGCCTCTATTGTTACTCCAAGTAAACATTTATATCATCTATTTAAATTTATTTTAATTTTTATTCAGTTCCCAAGCCATCTACAATCAAGTTTCATACTGTAGGTGGAAGGTCGTTATCTGTTTCAAGTGAAGCATTGAAGCGCGCAAGGAGTCTTCTTGGTGAACCGGAGGTAGGAGATTTATTTGGTGAAATGGATGAAGAGTTTATCCATATAGAGTTTACAAGGACGAAAAACTTAACGATGCGTCGTCAAACAAGGAAAACAACTTTCCTACATTCTTTCCCCACGAATGACCATAACTAAATTCTACTGAACAGTATGGTGAAGACTGTTTATTCATAATTTTAATGTTTCTAAATTGTAATGTATTATGTTGTTAAACATTTTTATGCATACCTTATGTCTTAATTCAAATGTATGGTTGTTGTTACTTATATAAAGCTACATATATCAGTGAATTTAGTTGATGTAGAGCAGAAATGAAAAATGTAAAATGAACTAATATTATGTAAATAAAAGGTTATTAGTGACATTTGTATACAAAAACGCCACTATAGCTCGCCCGTTGCGGCGTTTGTATCTGAAAACACCGCGAAAGAATAATATTTTAATGGTGTTTTTTAAAAAAACGCTGCAAAAAGGTTGTATATTTTTATTTATAGCGGCGTTTTTAAATCAATCGCCGCAAAATACTCTTAATTGAGTGGTGTTTCTAAAACCCAAATGCCACTGAAAAGTTAACTTTAATTGCGTTTTTGACACAAACGCCGCTAAAGAGTTGTAATTTAGTGATATTTTTTAAATAAATGCCGCAATTGTTTTCTCCTATAGTGGCGTTTTCGTAATAAACGCCGCAATTATTTTCTCCGTTAGTGGCGTTTTTGAAATAAACACAATAATTGTTTTCTCCGTTAGTGGTGTTTTCGTAATAAACACTGCAATTGTTTTATCCGTTAGTGGCGTTTTCGTAATAAATGTCGTAGTAGTTTATCCCATTGTGGCATTTTTAATATAAACGCCGCCATTGTCTTTCTTTTATCAAATATCCCCTATTCGAAATACTGATCCCTTATGTGTTCCCCCCAAATCTTCCTCCACTTAGCTTTGCGAATTTGGGTTTAGGGTTCACCACAAACCACCATCTCGTCGCGGGTCATCAACCACATTATTTCTTTTCTCCAACATTATCTCTGTTACTCCCATTTTCGATTCAATTTTAGGATTAACAATGTTCTGTCAGCATTAAAAACGAAGCCTTCTGCGGGTGAGAGCATGACAAACAGGTCTGTTATACTTGTTTCCCTTCAATGTCCTTCGTTTTTATGAAAGTTTTGTCCATTCATTATGCTGATTTTTAAATAACTTCTATGTCCTTCGTTTTTATTGAAGTTTTTATTGAAGCAATGATGAAGCAATGATAGGCAAGTACTGATTTTCGTTTGGGCTGTTTTCCTTCTCTTGATCGATATTCTTTCAAAGGTCAAAGATTGTTATCTTAAACCTCAAATCATTCCACGACTCAGGTACTCTGATCTCACTCCGATTGATCTTATAGTCATAGCATAATATTTTATTGATCATCTAATCACCCAAAAGATAGTGCCTTTCAGTTGAATTTGTTTGTTAAATCTGTTCCATATCTTTATCTCTATAAAAAGGTTTTCGAGGTTTATTTTTTTGTTAACCTTGTGTTCTTGCGTTTCTAATCAATGTCTTATTTGATTTTAGATGTAAAAAACTATGTCTATGCGTTTAAACTTTAAGAGAATCGTTTTTTCAGTGATGGGTTTGTTTGCTTACTTGCTTTAGTTTTGTAGTTCTGAACTGTTGGAAAATTATTAGTATAATATTGAGTAGTTCAGTAGTGAGCACTCATATAAGTTTCTAAGCCTTCATGTTTTTCTTTATGCCGCTTCCATGTTGTTTAAAGAATTTTGTGTCTTTCAGGATAACACTTTTACCAGCAAAAAAGTGGCTTGTCATATTCAGTTAATAAACAATTGGTTTTCTCAAATTTTGTGCAGTTCATATTTTTACCAGCAAAGAAGATGTTGTTTCCTTTTCGTAGTAAGTTATTTAAGTAACATTGGGTTCTATTTAATCAGCTTATCAGTTGCAACTGCACAATAAGAAATGTACTCAATTCGTATGTCGTATTCATTTGCATTAGCAACCAAACTTAATAGGTTTGCATCTGCAACAAGGGGAAGGAACTTGCAAATTGTGTAGCCATTGATGTTAATGACTGGTTTTTCCGTTGTATTAGCTTATTTGAATTTGTGTCTTTGAACAATCTTCTTGTGGTGTTTTATGATCCATTCAAAATTTATGCCAATCAGAGGATTGTAGTTGATACATATTTGATTAGGACTATGGAAAAACAAGTTTATATATGCTCCAATTTTCTGACCATCAGCTTTTAGGCATGTAGGGGAAGGCTACACTCTGCTAAGTTTAACAAGGATAAATTTAATCTTGAGTTTTCAATTATCTGAACTTTTATTCAATATTTTCTCTTGTATTTCATTTATGGTTTTCAATTATCTGTTAAGTTTAACAAGGATAAATCAGTACCTGAGATCATTATGCCTGAGTCATGGAGATCATTTGCCTTCTTAGTAAGAGAGGAATATCCTTTCTTGATTATCATCCAAGCTTCCATATCAAATACTTTGATGAATATCATCATACACATCTTCCAATGACGATAATTTGTTCCATTGAAGTGTGGAGGCACGTCAATAGGTCTGGATTCTTCCATGGAGAATGAACAGGAAGTAGACGCCATCTTTATCGATTTAACTCTTCCCGGATCGACTCAAGAGGTGATTAAACCTTCAAATGAGTGAGGCTCTGATACCAATTGTTGAGTTAATTGATTGATGGAAATGGCCAAGAGGGGGTGAATTGCCAATTAAAATTTTGGTGGAAGCTTTTCCAGAAAATTGAAAATATTTGCACAACGATTTAGAGTGGTTCGACTTTCTCAACTAAAGTCTACGTCCACTACCTTAGCTATCCACACTAAGGATTTTCCAACAAATTCACTAATTTTTTCTTTCTTTTGAGGACAAAGAGTAACCTTACAACTCCCTCAAGAATTATACCCCAAATTCTTGAGCACACTCTTTTTCAAAGAGAAATACACAAATTTGCAAACTTACAAGGAAAACCTCACAAGGTAAGATGTTTGCACAATTCTAGAACAAGAAAAGAACACTCAAAAATAATTAAAAATGAGCACAAATGATGTTCTTGAAAGCAAAATGAATATTGAAAGGAAAATTGGCTTGATTTGCACAAACTTGGTGTTTGATGCTTTCTCTCTTGTTTCTCTATTATTTCTTATTGATCAAAGGCTTCAGAACTTGTTTAAATACCCACTCAATTGATTCTGAACTTTGGGGATGATTAGTGGAGTCAATGGAGCCGTTTAAGTGTGAAAACCATTAATACAACAGCTTAGAGCGTGGGGGGAATCGGTACCCCTCATGGGGAATCGGTTCCCTAAGTGTAAAATTCAAATATTTCGACTGTTAAACAGTGAGGAATCGGTACCCCCTCATGGGGAATCGGTTCCCTCCGAGCATTCTGTTTTTCTCTGAGCCAAACCATTCAGGGGAGAATCGGTTCCCTCTGGACATTCTGGAATTTTTGGCTTTGAAACGGTTCGAAATACTTTGTAAAATTATTTTGAAATAATTTTAAGATTAAAACTTAATTTTACACTTGAATAAGGATTAAAAATGACTTTTGAAATATTTTGAGTAATATTTTGGTATTCGAATAATTATATCGAATATACTTAGAAAATCTTTTTGGAAAATCTTTTTGGAAAATCTTAAAATTCATTTATCTTAATTTGTTATATCGAAATATCAAAATGTTTTCAACAAATGGGTATGTAGATTCTGACTATGCAGGGGATTTGGATAAAAGCAAATCTACTACATGATATGTGTTCAAAGTTGCTAGTGGAGCTGTAAGCTGGGTTTCAAAATTGCAGTCAATTGTGGCTACATCCACAACAGAAGCAGAATATGTAGCAGCTACACGAGCCAGTAAAGAAACAATTTGGTTGAAGATGCTATTGGAGGAGCTTGGGCACAATCAATAGTATGTCTCTCTGTTTTGTGACAGTCAAAGCGCCTTGCATCTAACAAGAAATCCAGCATTTCATTCAAGGACAAAGCACATACGAGTTCAGTACCATTTCATTCGTGAAAAGGTGGAAGAATGGACGGTAGATATGCAGAAGATCCATACCAAAAACAATATAGCAGATTTCATGACGAAGGCGATCAATGCTGATAAATTTATCTGGTGTCGATCCTCTTGTGGCCTGTCAGAAACATAAGCAACATGAAGGTACAAGGTAGAAAGAATGGTATAAAGATATGATTGTTCCAATCAAATCTTCAAGTGAGAGATTGTTGAAAGTCAAAGGTGGTGGCTTTAGCATTAATGCATCGAAAGCATGAAAAACAAATATAGTTGTTTTTGTTGAATTTATCTAATGAGATAATTATACATTTAGTCACTTTACTTTAGGATATTTTCAAGATTAGTCCTTAATCTTCAACTATAAATACCCTAGCTCATTTAGCTTCAAAATCATCCCAAAGCATTCTAGCTTTCTTCCAATACTAGAGAGAATTTAAAGAGTTTCTTGAGAGTTGTTTTCTCCTTTTTATTAAGAGAGAATTATCATTGTTTTCTCCTTGGTAGATAGAGAGTTGTGATTCCTATTTTCTCATAGTGAAATTCTTCTACCGTTGCAAGTGGTTTTTACCCTATATTATTTAGGGGTTTTCCACGTAAATTTTGTGTCTCTTTTATCTTCATTTTTATTTTATCAAATTATTAGTTACGATTTTACTCTATTTGATAGCCGTCTTTCGCAACATGTTGATGATAGGGATGTGATGGATCGGTGCTACTGGACGACACATCTTCCTTCACAAGAGAGAAAAATGCCGTCCCGAATCGGAACTCGGCTCGAGGATTTGATGTGGTAGACTACATCAAGTCGGCGGTTGAGAAAGTTTGTCTCGGTGTAGTTTCATGTGCTGATATGTTGGCTATTACTGCTAGAGACTGTTAAAATCGTATAACTCCTAACGTTTCTTCTTAGTTCAAGGTTTCTTCTTAATCATGTAATTGAACAAAACACCCATTTTGTTTTGTTGTCAGCTCGGAGGCCCAACTGGGACGTGAAACTCGGAAGGAGAGATGCAAGGACTACAAGCCGGGCTGCTGCTAATAACGACATTCCTCCTCCAACTCCGAACTTGAATCGACTCATTTCTCGGTTCAATGCTCTCGGACTTTCCACCAGGGACTTAGTTGCTTTATCCGGTTTGTCCTCTCTACTCGACTCGTCTTGAATTTTATCGAAATCTGTTTGTATTCGTACTTTATGGTAAATGTTATTGCAATTTAGGGGGGCACACAATTGGACAAGCAAGGTGCACATCATTCAGGGCACGCATATACAACGAGAGCAACATTGAGCGCTCCTTTGCTCAAACAAGGCAGAGAACCTGTCCGAGAGCAACCGGCTCAGGCGACAACAACCTGGCACCACTTGATATCCAGACTCCCACATATTTCGACAACAACTACTTCAAGAACCTAGTCAACCGGAGAGGTCTACTACACTCCGATCAACAGCTGTTCAACGGCAGTGGGTCCACGGATTCCATTGTCCGGGGTTACAGCAAAACCCCGGGCTCATTCAGCTCTGATTTTGTTGCTGCCATGATCAGGATGGGAGACATTAGTCCCCTCCCTGGATCAAGAGGAGAAATCAGGAAGAACTGCAGAAGGGTTAATTAATTGATGCACTGCTGCTTAATTTGGTTTTTTAATAACAAAGAAACAAATAGTGTGGCATCACTTAAGATTATGCATTTGAGATTGTGTGTTTGTGTTTTGAATATTTTCCAAATTGTTGAATGGCTTAGGCCCCGTTGATGAGAGTTTTGCAATAATAATAAAAAAAAGTGACTAAGAATTGGAATAATTTATTTTAAAATTTTCAAATTACTCTTATGTCCCCATATAATTATAAATAATATTGCTAATTGCTATTATCCGACATTTTTTTTTACCGCGGGAAAGGATGTAAATATATTTTTGGTTTGGTTTTCTTTTACCACCCGGTCAGCTTTATTTCTCTTCCCGCGCAAAACTGGTGTTGAGTGCATTATAGCATCGCGCTGCGACTAATATAAAATTCGTGGTACACATATTTTCTTTTGCTGTTGTGCTCAAATAATCCCTATTTTGTACGTATTTTTATTTCTTGTCACCAACTCACTTGAATTTATTCAAATGCTAACTTCTGGAAAGAAAACAAATTTACTAATTAAAAAGTTGATACCATTGGAATTAAATTTTAGAGGGGGTTAACTGGTAAACACGAAAGAAAATCTACATTGTAATTGCACTGTTATCCCAAGGACCGGAACAGAATATTTGTAACATGTAGCAAATTGGGCGTATGTTAGCGAAGACCCACGAACCCAATGGCATTCTACTACCAGATTGAAGTGGCCACAATTTGCTTATTATTTTTATTTAGTAATTTACTTAAGTAAAATTTGGAGAAAGTTGCACAGTTTCGAAGTGGAGCTTCAATGGTGAATCACCCAAGAACCCGCGAAAAGAGTCCATGCTACCTTCCCCCGCCGTTCACCGGATGGTAGTGCCTTTCAGAAGTGGTAATATATATATATATATATATATACCTAAAAACTAGCACTTTGCCGTTCTTTTAGATGAATGATCATTTTTTTCATGCTTCAATTTTTTTTGGTGATTTTGAGGTTTGGGTTTTTGAAATTATCACGTTATTTTCAATGTGGAAGTGGTTTGTGGTGAAATGGTGGCGATTGCTTTGACTGATATGCGCGAATATGGGCCTAAGAAGAAAGAGTCGAAGAGGTTTAAGGGCACTGCTGGGACTCAAAATGCGATCAAACCAATAATTTCTCTAACACCCAGATCGGCTTTTAATATTTTTCTTGTAAATTTCTCACTTCTGATGCCTCACTTTCCCTTTTATTCTTCGTTATTGTCTATTTATTCACATTTTTTTGAAGTTGTTTTTGTTTAGGTATATTTGTAAAATCTTAATGACGCTAGAGGAGATTCTTCTAGCCTTAAACCTCGAATCTTATAGAGTACTAGGCCATGCATTTATATTTTTTAGTTTTGGTATATATTATTGGGTTATGCTTATAGATGCATAGATAATTTCTTATAGTCAATTGCTTCACATATTTTTGAAGTTGTTTTAGTTTTGAAGTTTCATTGATATTGACCGGAAGGGGTTCAAAACTTGGAAAAACATGTGCGAGGAGGTAATGGTGATCAATTTTTTTTACTTGTTGGAAGTTTTCCGTTGTGTATTCCGTATTGAATAACGTCAGCGTATCTTTCTTTGTAGGAGAGGAAACCATACCTTACTGAAGCTGAAAAGGTGAACTCGGCCTATACGCTTTTGGCTTCGACGATTGTTGATTCGAGACCATCAAAGAGCACGAAGGGACTGCACAACGGCATTCAAAGTTGAAAACGTTGGAAGAATCGTATCGTTGGAGACGAATATTCCCACCGCAACCAACGGTGCCCACCACCGCCATTTTTGGTTTATCGAAGACAAGAAGAAAACGGTCGTTTAAAGAGAAGAAGAATTGGATTGAAGGGAGGGTCAAGATTGGTGGAATGGTGTTTGATATACATATATTTGTTGTTGACAGCCTTTTCGTTCTTTAAGAGGAGTGTAGGACAATCAGGACCGTCTCCGACGGAGAATGCGACTGCTCGTGAAACGCCTGCATTGCATGCAGACTGTGCGCTCCCTGCTCTAGCAGTCAACGTCCGCCACGTGTGATTCCCATGTCAGCAAAATGTTTATATGCATTACAAAAAACAGAAAATGTATTTTCGATTTATTAATGCACAATAAAAAAAATTCAAATATTAATTGAATTTTGTTGGATTAATTGTATCATTAAAAAATATATTCTATATATACCGCTACTGAAATTAAAAAATTACCAGTGAGGAAGATATTGTTTTTTTAAATAAAAATATAAAGATATACGATATTATTTTGTTTAAGGTGGTTGCTTATTGGGTATGTAAATTTCTGAACTCGAGCGTAGTGTAGTTTGGGCCAAGCATTACAATGGGACTCACACATCTCCAATACCCAAAGAACATTAATAAGACGATGACAATTAAACATCACATCTAATAATCACATGAGTTAATTCCTCTAAGTACGAAGAGTATCCTTGGATGAGATACCTTTACCACCCCTTTCCTCTCATATCTTCCTGTAATTTCGTTTATTTTCTCTTCAATCTTATGCTTAAGAGATTCTTTCAATTTTTTATATACTCTTTTACGGTATTTTCTATAATATTATTCTATATAGTAAATATATCTTTTAAAGAGGTGAATCTATTGTAAAGTTATCTAACATTGATTTTACATAAGAGACTCCATTAAATCTGCAAATGATATTTCGACGATCACTTCTCCAAATAAAATTCATGTGTAAATCTAACTAAATGCTCAAACACTAAATGAAGTGACCTTAGGGTTAATGATGGTTTCAGTCTATTTAAAATAAAGTATCAATAAATTCTTATGCTAATTGTCATATTATCTTAAGTAATCATCATTAGAATACATAGAACAAAAAACATAAGCTATAACAAAGAAAAGACATGCAAGAATAAGCATTAATCTTTCTTCTTTCATATTCCCTTAGGTTATAGGTTCTAGACCCACTAGGAACACTCCTCGTTCTTCCCTTAGAGTCCGTCTTTTCCTCTGATCTAACTAAGATTAAGATTAGACTAATAATTTATCAAATCTAAAACAAATCAAGAGTAAAGATGGATCTTGACCAAATAATTGAGGCAAAGGACACTGCAATTGTTTTTGTGAGATAAGTACATAGATTGCATTAATCATAAAATGCATCATTTAAAACAACATTTGAAATATATTCATAGGTTCTAGACCCACTAGGACACTCCTCGTTCTTCCCTAGAGTCCGTCTTTTCCTCTGATCTAACTAAGATTAAGATTAGACTAATAATTTATCAATCTAAAACAATCAAGAGTAAAGATGGATCTTGACCAAATAATTGAGGCAAAGGACACTGCAATTGTTTTTGTGAGATAAGTACATAGATTGCATTAATCATAAAATGCATCATTTAAAACAACATTTGAAATATATTCAGGACAATCATAAATAAAATACAACGGTAAACGATTAGTAACAATCTAAAGCAAAAATAAATTTAAATAATCTGTAAAGTAGACAAATGAAAAATCAATCTTCTTTAGTCAAGTCTTATCCTAGGGTTATCACCACGAGAACTTAGGTTACATCATGTATTTATGTTGTTACTTTGCTTTAAACAACACTAATTTCTTAAGATTTTCAATCTGTTAATAACCTTAGAAAATAGATTTGAACTGTTATCGTGCAATTTTGTTAGATAAGCCATCTTCTTCATCTTTGGAAACATACAAAACAAAATCTTAGAACGACAAACTTAATTATCCATTATCTAAAATCGAATAAGAAATCAAAAAAGAAAAATCGTTAAATTCAAGATAAATTAGTAATAGTAATGCAAAAAATAGAAGAAATCAAATGGAGATTTGACAGCAGAAAAGAGATCTCCAGTGTTTGAATAGTTTCAGGAAATCAAAAGATTTGGTGGGCACATGCAGGATGGATCTTCAGCTTACAAGACTGACAAGTACAGGAACCTTAAAAATAGGTATCAAAATCACCAGTTTCCAAACCTTTTTGATCCAATGATGTTGCAACTTGTTACTCAATCAACATCAGGTGATCAAATCTCAGATACCCATTTTTTTTATTCTGTACCTGCTTTCAGTATCAGGTTACAACTGAGAACCCCCCAATTCCATAAGAAAACGACGCGGTAATACGGAGCTTGCATGTGCTCCCCCTAACATGGTAGGGACCCTTAACCACTCCTCAAATCTTTCTATTTTAATACTTGACCCTTTTTCTGCCTGTTTAATGCATTAATATAACACATTTTAATCATTGTGGAGAACTGCTGGCCCTCGTAATCACTCACCTAATCTAATGATTTCAGTGATTGATTAATAATTAATTAGGAAAAAAAACCATGCTTCTTCTCTTGCTAATGTGGTTTCTTGATTTGTGGTTAGTCTACTTGTGCACCTAATTGATATTGTATACAGGTAATCAATCAGAGTGACTGGAAGTCACATTAATGAAACATTTAGTTATTGTTATATTTATTAATTACCGACAAATTATTCCTTAAGTCACCATCCGTAACTATGGGCTGATGCTCCTTTTTTATATATTTTCAGAAGAAGAAAAAAACTGGTTGGTATACGAAGGAGAATTTATTTATTTATTTTTGTATTCATAATATTTCATGCAAAATATAACATTTTTATTTTAATGTAAGTAGGAATAGGTAGGTGTTGGTGAAATAGAGGGGATTATTTTAATTGGGGATTCGTTTTTTTAGTTTAAATGAAAAATTATAGATAATGATAGGTCAGCGATTGATTAATTGTGTAAAAATAATGATTTCGTTTTTATAATTCATTGATATCTTATATATGGATTGGTTATTCTTTAAATAATTTAATGTGATTAATAAATAGTATATATGTTTAAAAAAAATTACCCTATATTAACACATACATATTTTGTAGATACAACTACTCAAATATGAATCCTTTAGAAATAATAACATTTTCTTTTACCATTAAAATCACACAACAAATTCATATCGATGACTATTATAAAAATTTATCATCGAGAATAACCTCTATTTTGATTTTCTTCATGACAATATTAAGATTTATATTTAACATATTATTCAATATCGTATATATTTTTTCTAAGTTTAAGAGAACTTGAAAGAATATAAGTTTGACCTAACAAGTTGCACATCTCACTAGAAAATAATAATTGATTACAATAAATCTCAATAATAAAAAGAAGTAAAATCATATTGTAATATTATAGTGCACGACCACCGCTGTTTAAGGATACAAGTAGCAACAGAGAGGGGGAAGAGTTGCATGTGCGAATTGCGGAAGCGGTTGGTGATCTCACCGAAAACAATTGCATGTGCAGACTTTGATCCTTTTAAAAACAAATAAGCTTTCATGGCCCTTGCGTTGCGTCTCAAGGTTTTCGTTCCACTCCAAGTCAACATCGCACCGCTCCCTAAAACATCTCCCCTTTATTTCCTATATAAACCCCCTTTCTCCCATCCCTATGTCACAAGCCATCTAGCATTAAACGCACCACCCGCTTTGTGTTACCCTTTCTTCAAAATGGCAAAGCCATCCTTTTCTGCAACTTCCCTTATGCTCTTTGCCTTCAGTTTCTTCCTGCGTTGCGCCTTTGGCGACTATGGAGGAGGATGGCAAGGCGGTCATGCGACATTCTACGGTGGTGGTGACGCTTCTGGCACGATGGGTAAGTTCAAATGGTCTCCATATAGCATTCAAGTTTTATTAGAGCTGACAGTTTGTCATCCTCAGGAGGTGCTTGTGGATATGGCAACTTATATGGCCAAGGCTATGGGACTAACACTGCAGCACTTAGCACTGCATTGTTCAACAGTGGCTTGAGCTGCGGTTCCTGCTACGAAATGAGGTGTGCCGGAGACCCCAAATGGTGCCTCCCCGGAACCATTACCGTGACGGCGACCAACTTCTGCCCCCCGAACTTTGCTTTGTCCAATAACAATGGTGGGTGGTGCAATCCTCCTCTCCAACACTTCGACATGGCCGAGCCGGCCTTCTTGAAAATAGCTAAATATCGTGCTGGTATTGTCCCAATTTCGTCCAGAAGGTAAAGTTTAATGAAACAAGCTATGTTGTGCTGTAAAATATTGATTGAGCTCATCTCATAGTATATTTACTGTGATTTTTAAAAAAAAAACAGAGTCCCCTGTATGAAGAAAGGAGGAATCAGGTTCACAATCAATGGCCACTCTTACTTCAACTTAGTCCTAATCACAAACGTGGGTGGTGCCGGAGATGTCCATTCTGTGTCGATCAAAGGCTCTAGAACTGGATGGCAAGCAATGTCAAGGAACTGGGGCCAGAACTGGCAGAGCAACACCTATCTCAACGGCCAAAGCTTGTCATTCCAAGTCACCACAAGCGATGGCAAGACTTTAACAAGCAACAATGTGGTGCCGGGGACTTGGCAGTTTGGACAAACATTCGAGGGTAGTCAGTTTTAAGAGTTTCAGCCTGTAGTAGCCATTGTTACGAGTTTAAGAGAGAGGTTCGGTCCCAAGTGGCTGACTATTGCTGTGGTGGTTTATTTGGCACCCGCTAGGCCTACATGTATTTTTAAAATCATTGAAGGGTCGTGTGAGCTATAGTTTCAAGTAAACGGAGGATATTACATTGTTTTGGCAATAGAACTTGTATGTCAACCAATAGTAATAACAAATAACAATTGCAGACTTACTTACCTCAAAGAAACACGACTCTTTTAAACTCTTTTTTCCAGAGAGAACGGATTTAGATGGTGTGAGTAAATTGCACTGGCAATGACAACTTTTGACATTTGACTTCACAGAAAACCATCCCTCCTATCTTGTTCCTCAGCTTCCTCGTTAGCAACTATGCCTGAATATTCAAAATAAGATTATTACAACAATCGGTTAGATTGAGATGATAAATTTCTATCCATACATTCCATTAGTATATTTTTATCAATCATTTCGAAAATGAGGTTTGTCACCAAAATCAATGAAAGCACTTCTGGATTACATCACTAACATGTTAGCTCAGTGGAATCATCCCAAATGCAAAGAAAACAAACTGATTTACAATTCCTCGTTCAAAATATCGAACTCAAACGAGGTAAGGGAAACTGACCGAAGTGGGGATTCCGGTACATGCAAAGAAACCGAGCAAGGGTGCATAGAAAATGCCGTCTTTGTTCAAAACTCCAAAAACAGGCCTTTGGTTGATATACTCGAAAACCGAACCAATCTGCACGGTAAGGAGATAAGCAAAATTTATCCATCTTAATTTTGATTTTTTTAGGGTCTCAAACCATTACAGAGTAAGGAGTGATGGATCGAGAGGTTTGCGGTTGAAATTTTCAAACTCACGAATAATTTAGATATTTTTTTTATATTTTATATTGATACTTTATTTTCATTGTTACCAAATACTGCAGTAATGGCGGTTATCACCGAGGCAAGTAAACAAAGAAGGGGGCCTCAAAACTTTGCTGTGCTGGGGAACCCTTCTCTCCATCATCTTCAGCCCAAGGACGAGGCTCGTCTGAATCGGGTCTCGCCCAAGGAGGGAGAATTTCTTCAGACTTGCTGGACCCAGCAGAACCTTTGCATTCAACACAAGAAACCTCCGAGATAACCTTCTGTTTTGATAAAAATGAAAACACCCATTGGCATGTTGATTCAGAATGCCGACTCCAAGGAATTTTTAATTAAAAAACTTAAAATTTATTTATTAGAAAAATAATCTCAAATAGCATTAATTGAAGAAATACTCTCAAACTGTCCATCTGGCTTATAACTTTTTTTTTTTGTTGATAGCAAAATTTTATATAATCCATAATTAGCCAAATATTAATAAACAAAAATAGATAGTAGGCAGTTCGATTCTCTCTAAGAGGTAGCACAGGAATCTGGTTCCCAGCATTTCATCCGCATTTAACCGCCGCTACTTGTTCCAAAACTAGAGTTGCCAGTATCTCCTCTTACCCAAAGCCCATTTTTCACAAATTCTTCGGTAGAAACCCTAGTACTTCCCAAAACATATTGAAACCCTCTTTACTTTCATCACCAGTTCGTGGGATCGTTGGGTTTTCAGCAATGGCATCTGCAACGGCAGGAGAAGATGGTCAGTTCAAGTTGTCTGAGACCAGTGTGCTTAAAATCCAGAAGGGCGACATTACACGGTCGTTTGTTGATGGCTCCTCCGATGCTATTGTCAGTCCCTTCTCTATAATCTTTTAGTTCGTTTTATTATAATTTGTTTATGGAATGAGTGACCCTAGAATTTCCATTCAATTTGGTGGATTAATGTTGAGGGGAAAGCGAAGGATTATTGAGTGTTTATATGCGTTGATGATTATTTTTCTTTCATGGGTTTTTATGTACGTTGATTAAAGTTGAGCTTTGTGATATTAGTGATGAATGATGATGATCATCTGCAGGTCAATCCAGCTAATCAGAGAATGCTCGGAGGTGGTGGCGCAGATGTAGGTATTCTACCTTGGAAAATTTTCTTTCCTGATTTTGGACCTTATTAATGTGACGTGAAAATGAACTTATAATGACCATTGATGAATTTTACTAGCCATGCATAGGCTGCTGGCCCGGAACTTCGAGAAGCATGCTTTAAGGTCCCAGAAGTTCGACCTGGTGTTACCTGTCCCACCGGGTGAAGCAAGGATTACTCCGTAAGTTCTAATAATTACGGTGTGTACTGCCGAATGCCGATTCATCCAAATGTTGAAACAGGCTAATGTCTTTACTGGTGAGTTTATGCAGAGGATTTAAACTACCTGCATCTCATGTGATTCACACTGTTGGACCGATTTATGATTCCGACAAGGACCCTAAAGACTCACTCAGAAATGCATACAAGTATGCTATGCTATTCCTTTCTGCCATTATATTTCTAGTTAAGTTCATCATTCTCAAGTAAGACATCTTGAAATTGTTGCAGAAATTGCTTGAGTGTGGCTCAACAGAACAATATTAAATACATTGCGTTTCCTGCCATATCTTGCGGTGTATTTGGGTAAGTAATGCCAAGAAATCATCGAAGGCTTTCTTATTTTCTCCCTTTCCCCCCTCTTTTTATAACACCCTTTGATCTGGAAAGTGTAGAGAACTGTGAGATTTACATGATCAAGTACAAAACCTTAGTTTTTACTGTCATCATAATTGTTTTTTTTGGAACTAGATGTCAAGATCTATGGAAACAACTCTGATGAGGATAAAATAGGGGAACGAGAGCGGTGTTCTCTTCTATATTTCCATTCATAAGACCGTAATATCTCCAAGAGGAGACCGGTCAATTTATACAAATTGATAGCTGAACTTGGTTAGGAAACGGCCTAACATCCTAAACCTTCCAAAACTAACAATAGGGAATATCCTAAGTGATGCAGCACACACAACCTACTCTGCACTCACTTCACTATGACAGAATACTCTAATATTCCTATTCCCATTACAAACCATTTTTTTTTCTTTGATGAAGACGGAAACGAGACCAACAAAACAGCACAAACTCAAAAACAAAACCTGCAGAAAAACATAGCAAGGAAAACAACAAACCAACAGGAGAAACACACAGCAGCCATCAGGAAACAGAGGAAACAAACAATAGACAGTAAAGAAAAATAACCAGTAGAAAAGAAAAACAGCAACATCAAGGAAATAGAAGTCACAGCACACTCTCATGAACAAAATCAAACTCCAGGAAAAATACCTTTGCTGTCAACCAAAAAAATACCTTCGTTCCAGGAACCACACACAGCTTATGTCGATGTCTATGAAAAGACGGAGCAGACAAAGGCTTGGTGAATACATCAGCCACCTGTTCATTCGCTGGTATTTCATTCATATGCAACTTCCCAGGAGCAACTTGTTCACGAACAAAAAACAAGTTAAGTTCAACATGTTTAAACTTCGAATGTAAAATTGGATTTGCTGATACTGCCACGGCACTCGTATTGTCACACCACAAAACAGGCATACCTTCAGATGACACATACAACTCACGCAACAAGGACTGAAGCCATAGAATCTCAAATGCAGCACATGCAACACTACGATACTCAGCCTCCGCGGTTGATTGAGCAACAACTTGTTGCTTCCAAGAACTCCATGAAACAGGATTCCCACCAAATAAGATACAGTTACCCGTCATTGAACGCCTATCATCAGCATCATTCACTCAGTTAGCATTGACAAACCCTGTAATAGTCTAGCAACGATGAGGAGAAAAATGTAAACCAAAATCAACTGTTCTCTGTAAATAGCAAAGTATACGTTTAACAGCTAGCAAATGCGTATCACAAGGTGTCTGCATAAATTGACAAACCATATTGACAACAAAGGCAATGTCAGGTCTAGTAATCACAATGTACTGAAGAGCTCCAACAATACTACGAAACTCAGTCGCAATCTCAACCGGACTTCCATCATTTGAAGACAACTTACAACCCGTGATCATTGGCGTAGGAAAACTCCTAGCACTTTCAAAACCATATTTTTGTAACAAGTCAAGAATTTACTTTTCTGACTTATAAGTAAACCACCATTAGAATCATAGTGAACTTCAACACTTAAAAAATAACGAAGCACTCCAAGGTCTTTAAGAGCACAAACAACATTTAAGTTTGTAACCACACTCTGAACTTCAGGAGTGTCAGTACTAGTGACAATAATATCGTCAACATAAACTAAAAGATAAACCAAAGAAGTAGCAGTCTTCTTCACAAAAAGAGACGCGTCCGACCTGCCAACATTGAACCCTGCAGAAACTAGATAATCTTTGAGTTTCTCAAACCAAGCCCGTGGTGCTTGTTTGAGTCCGTAAATTACCTTGTTCAACTTGTATACCAAAGGACTACCATCAAAATCAAATCGTTCATAACCCGGGGGCTGGAACATGTAAACCTCTTCAATCAACTCACCATGTAAAAAGACATTATTAACATCAACTTGTTTCAAAACCCAACCTTGTTTACAGCTATCGAAAGTATAGTCCTAACCGTAACTGGTTTTACTATCAGGCTAAAAACTTCATTAAAATCCACCCCTGGTTCTTGTAAATACCCTTTCGCAACTAACCGAGCCTTATATCTCTCCACAGTGCCATCCAGGTTCTCTTTTACCTTGAAAATCCACTTACAATTTACTGCTCTTCTATCACTAGGTAATGGGACTAAATCCCACGTTTTATTCCTCAAAAGCGCATCAAATTCAGCATCCGCAGTAGCTTTCCAGCGATAATCCTTCAAAGCTTCTCGTATGTTCTTTGGTTCCTCAGTGGATTAAACAAGAAACACTTTACGCTTCCTTATACCGTTTCTACTTCGAGTAGTCATTGGATACTTATTTTCAGCACCCAAAACAGCACCAGACACATGCTCTATATCACTGGCAGCCAACATATCTTGGCGAAAACTATTACCAACTGGAACACCACCATTGTCTAGAGGCAGCACCAACCATGGCTGATGCTCAGCTCCGAAACGAGCAGACTCAGACAAATCAGGACACAACTCTTGATGGTCGGATGCCACCTGAGTAGGGTGCAACTCAGGAGACTCAACAACAGTTGAAGCTCCCTGAAACGAAGCACCCAGAGGTTCTGCGCAAGCTAACAGATCACATGAAGGCTCACCTGCACACTGCATGCCCGAATCATTCGAAGGCGAGGCACACATAGGTTCTGTGCATTCAGGAAACGCAACCTGAACTCGCCTATGATCCAAATCTGAAGTTGGCAGTATGCTTCCACAAAGTTGTCGTTCTGATGGCATTTGCAATACTGGATCAACAAGTAATGACAAACTAGGGCCTGATTGAGACATCTCAGGCAAAAGAGAATTATCACACTTTGCAGCAAACAGAAATAACGACTCATCAAACGCATATCTCGACAGAAATATTTTTCCAGTCTCATCCATATACCGATAACCCCTATGAGAAGAGCTATATCTAAAAAAAACATATTTTGCAGATCTAAAATCCAATTTATGCTTATTAAACGGCCTCAAAAGCGGAAAACAAGCACACCCAAAAACACACTAATGAATACAGTGGAACTTGCTTATAAAGCTGGCTCATAAGGTGACTTACCTTTCAAAACAGTCGTAGGTAATCTATTGATAAGAAACACCGCAGTTGTGAAAGCATAACTCCAATTCTTCAGGGGTAAACCAGCTTGAGCAAGAAGAGTCAAACCCATTTCAACTATATGACGATGCTTTCGTTCTGCTTTACCATTCTGCTTTGAGGTATGTGGACATGTAATCTAATGCTGCACACCACGAGTGACTAACCAATTGATTAACTGTCAATATTCAGAACCTCCATCAGTTTGCAACGCCTTGACCTTGCAACCAAACTGAACTTCAACAAGATTGTAAAAATTAAGAAAACATTGCGCAACTTTAGACTTCCGCTTTATAAGATACAACCACGTATGTCGACTATAAACATCAACAAACGAGACGTAATATAAATAACCATCAGAACTCACCGGCGCAGGCCCCCAAAGATCAGAAACGACAAGGTCAAAAGGTTTTTCATATTCATTAACAAACTTTGGAAAAGGAAGCTTGTGAGCTTTCCCTTTCAAACAAGCAGAACATACATTGTCCAATTTATTCGCACTAGCAACTAATACACACTTTTAACAACAGCACAAGACGGATGTCCAAGATGATTATGCCACAATTCAAAAATACTTGAAGACTGAGAATTCCTAAACGACGCAGCAAACAACTCAAGAGAAGATGAATGTTCATTAGTAGCTGGAGGCAGCAACTGATACAATCCTTCAGGAGTGAGCTTCCCTTTGCACAACAACCATTAGTATAGAATTCAAATGCAACATTATTATCCCTAACTAGCTGCGAGACAGACAACAAATTCTTCCTTATCGTTGGGACATGTAAAAGATTACGCAGAGCCAAAGGTTTACCATAAGTAACCAAAGAGCCTTGACTGATGCGAGAAATATTAACACCATCCGCATTTCCTATAAGTAACTTAGAATTACCTGTATAGGATGTACTGGCTTGGAGATGAGATGAATCATGAGTGACATGATGTGTAGCCCTTGTATCCGGATACCAAGCCCCATCACTCGCACTCGGCCAAGGAGGAGCAGTAGAGGCAAAAGAGACACCAGCAGTGGATGGAGCAACAGTGGTCATTGACACAAAACCACTTCCATGACCAGAAACACATGGACAGGTAGCACCCATAAACGAATTGTAATTTTGTTGATGTGAAGGTATTGCCACAGAATAAGACGGATTGAAAACTTGCTGCTGTGGTGACCCTGCTGTAGAATAAAAACCATGTGGAGTTGAACAGAGAAATACCGGTGAAGTAACTATACTGTGAAGGTGCATGACCTAATGTATGAGAATACACTTGAATAGGGCTTTCAACATTCTGCACATAACCTGCCCCATTTGCATTAGTATTGTAGTTACGAGCATATACACTATCACGGCTTTCAGTATTGGAATTAGTGGAAGCATGATAATTTTGATCAAACCTATGGTAACACTTTTGAACAGTATGCCCAGAACAACCACACAATTGACATTGAGGACGATTTTGATTGTACCTGCCACCACGACCTCGGCCTCGAGAGGTACCACCACGGCGTCCTCCACGAGTCCCTTGATGATGATATGATTCTTCAGATTGAATCTCTTTTGTCGTATCATTTGAAACGTTTTCACCATGATGTGTAATCAAATTGGCATGAACAATAGACTCTCTTGAAGAAACACCTTTTGTCGAGTCCCACATTCTAACAACATATCAGTGAGAGTCTCAAGGGACACCAACTCTCTAGAAGCGATGGCAATCACAGATTCGAACTCCATCGGCAACCCAGCTAGAACCTCACTCACCTGTTCTTGTTCTATAACAGAACTCCAGAAGAATTAAGCATGTCACATATTACTTTAATCTTAGCTAGATATTCATTAACAGTCAAACCTGCCTGTGATACGCGACAAAATCAGGATTCTGAACTACTGTTCCTGAGTCGGATTGAACAAATTGAGTAGGAGCCGACTTATCTTCAGAAATAAACCTCAGCAGCCCATAACCATCAATAATCAGCATGACTTGATGCTTCCAAAGAACAAAGGTAGAATCGGCTAGCTTCACAACATCAAGTTTTGTAATATGTTGAATCGTCATATTAGAGATGTTTGGGTAGGTAGTGTGAATCAAACTTGTCTGAGTATCGAGAGTCATTCTTGAGAACAGCACCGGTCAGGCAATTCAACAAACAGGTTGTGCGTAGTAATGGAAGAAAACTCACAAACACAAAACAAAGCAATCTGAGAAGACTACAATCCAATCATTGCAAACACGCCTCAAAATATTGATAAAACAACTTAAGAGACTCAATAAAACAATACCTCAAAGATAATCCAGCATAGATCACTAGTTTACCCTTCTAGCAATGAATCATCACGAGTAAACGTTCAAATCATCACAAAACGGATAAATCTTATCGAGAGCAGGTATCGAGATCGAAGCAACGATTGGGATCAAAGAATGCACAAATCAATTAGAAAGATGTTACCAGGAGCCGAGAACAAACAAAGAGCATTGCAAACACGCAGCGGAGGTAATGACGGCCCGGATCTTCAGCGAATGATACCATGTTAAGATCTATGGAAACAACTCTGATGAGGATAAAATAGGGGAACTAGAGACGGTGTTCTCTTCTATATTTCCATTCATAAGACCGTAATATCTCCAAGAAGAAACCAATCAATTTTTACAAATTGATAGCTGAAGTTAGTTAGGAAACGGCTTAACATCCTGAACCTTCCAAAACTAACAACAGGAAATATCCTAAGTGATGCAGCACACACAACCTACTCTGCACTCCACTATGACATAATACTCTAATACTAGACGAGCACTCGATTCTGTGGAAACTCGCCTAAATTGTATCTGGTTTTTTGTTTCTTCCTTTTGTGATGATATTATTTGTTAAGGACTGTTTTTCAATTGGTGATGCTTGGATTGTTGGGTTATTTTTTCTGTGACTTTCTGAATTGGACTTTGACTGTGAGCATGAACTCAGAGACATAATAGAAATCTCTTGTTCATGGAAGAGCATTCTCTTTTGCCAAATTCTCTGTCATTTAATCCTTAGCGTCATCATGGATTTATTTTTTTTCTACCTTAGGTGTTTGTAGTAAACGTTTTATCAGTTTATGTTTAAATTCTTCGTTTCATTTCGGAAAATTTTCCAGATATCCTTACGAGGAAGCAGCAACAGTTGCTTTAACTATTACTACAAAAGAATTTGCCAATGATATTAAAGAGATAATTTCTCTTTTTATTCGCTTCAACATTAACATAAAAGGTTTCTTTTAATTGTCGATTGATTCCCTTTGTTTCACCCTTTAGATCTCGTTTTTCATTATTACTTTCATGTTACTCATACTCAGGTGCGAGTATCAAATACAGGTATGATACATAATTGTATGTAGTCCGAACACTAGACGAACTTATTTGCCTACAAAGACTTGTTGAAGGAATTCTTTCCTTCTTTTTCTTAATCGCATGATACACAATTCTATGAAGCACGGATACGAGACGAACTTGTGAGTGACGCTCACTCAAGTTGCTGTTTGCAGGTGCACTTTGTTATGTTTAGCGGTGACGTCTATGATGTTCGGTTGAAAAAAGCAAAGGAATTGACTTGAACCGCTTACCTTCGTTTGGATTATGTCATGTGAGGGTCCATTGTTCTTCATCTGGACAGCATATGTTTGATGTAGTAAAATGGTTGCCCATGTTACCTAAGACTTTTTATTTTACCCGTGCTACTTGTATCAAATTTAGGTACATGTGTCGGATGCATAATTTGAATCGATTAGGTATTGCAATTGTCAAGGCCTCATTGGTTGCGTCACACAGTTCTAATTTTTAAATTTACTCTGGTGGAGTGAACTCTTGTATTTCAGTTGAAAATATATAGCATAAGCCCTGAAAAAGTAGGTGTAATTGAACTCAAAAAAAAAAAAAAAAAAATAGGACAAATATACATTTTGGTACTTAAACCTAATTTTATAATTTAATTTGGTTATTATTTTTTCAATTAAGTGCTAAAATTAGCCTTAAAATTCAATTTGGTGCATAAATGTTTTTTTATTTAATTAGATGTTTGAACTTGATTTTTTAACCGTCTTTATTTGCACGTAGAATGAACGAACAATTTAATAAATGAGTAAATTACACGCTTACTCATTAAACTTTACTTTTTCTCCTATTTCATTCACTGTACTTTTAATTTTTTCAATTTACTTATTGAATTTTATATATTGGATTTTTTGTCACTTAGCTTTTAATTTTTTAACGGTGCTATGATGTGACAATCAACACCAAAATGACGTGGTTTTGGTTCTTATAAAAAAATCAAATTTAAACCAAAACGACATAGTTTTGGTTTAATTTTTTTTCTTTTTTCCCTTTCATTTTCTGCTCTTTCCTTTTTTGTTCTTCTTCTTCTCATCTTCTCTCTTTATTTTCCTCTTCAACCTCAATAAACCCAGATTTTGACTACCACGTAGACCATTAAAAAGAGAAAATGAAATAAAGAAACGAAATGAAAATGAAAATGAGAAGTTGTATTAGCTACAATTAGGTTATTCTCCACCATTGTAAAATACAAAACGAAAGTCAAGATGAGAAATTCCTCCATTAAAAAGTATTGTATACAAGCTTGTTGGCCACAAACCCATAACCATACCCCACAATTATAGGAAAAAAAATTTAGAAGTAGAAATCTTATATGAAAACATGACCTTAAGAAAGGGACCCGATCAACCCTTTATGATAAACACCAACACTTCCACCAACTTGCCATTATCATAAACCTTTCTACAAGAGGGTAACCCTTAATTCAATTTCTAACTCTCAAATCTCTTCATTTTGGGTTCCTACCCATAGTTGGAAACATCTAAGAGAAAAAAATGTGGCTTATGCTGGTGGCTTTGCGACAGAATCTTCAAAACATCAAGAAATGTGGCAGATGAGAACATGATGATCGGAACGGGAGGAAACAATAATGGAGGCGAGATGTCAAGTTTCGTAGATAGGAGGTTAAATGATCTTTATGTGATTTGCAGTGTTGTTAAAGTTCTTTTTACACTGATTTCTTTCTTCTTTCAACCCTGTGTTAATGACGCTCATGGAGTCTGAAATTTTGAACTTTCAGTCATGAACAATCCTTGTGCTCATGGAGGAAGAACAAAGAGACGCTATTTTTTTCATCTTTATCTTTACATTCTTCTAACTTTGAAAAACCAGTTCGGGAGGAAGCATTAAGGTGGTTTTTGTTGATTTGAATATGATAAGGTTCTCTTATCAAATGATGGTTGATGAGGTTAAAATTGGAGAAGATCAACAGTAAAAGGTGGGTTCTTATCAAAACCTGCGTGGCATATTATAATATTAAAATAAGCCATGTAATCACACTGTTAATGAAAAAATAGTCGAGTGAGTAAAAGCGTTCAATGTCGAAGGTTCTGTGAGCAAATTAAAAAAATTAAAAGTACGATGAATAAAATAGGAGAAAGAGTAAAGTTCAGTTAATAAGCGTACCCTTAGTAAATAAAGGAAAAAAGATTTTATGAGAACATAGGCAATCGAGAAAATTACTAGGGAGTAGATCAATTAAAAAAAAGAGAAAATCGCCTCAGTGACCAAAAAAAAGTTATAATATACGATTTTAACCAATTTTTTTTGGATTTGCCAAAATGACCAACAAAATCGCAACGCGAAATAAAAATCGCAACGCAATCCCCAGAATCGCAAATCAGTTTCCAAAATCGCAACGCGATTCTTGAAAATCGCAATGCGATAGTACAAATTCGCATTGCGATTTTCCAAAATCGCAACGCGAATATGAAAATCGCAACGCGAACACATAAATCGCAACGCGTATCCGTAAATCGCAACGTGTATCCGTAAATCGCAACGCGTATGGGTAAATCGCAATGCGTATCCGTATATCGCAACGCGTATCCGTAAATCGCAACGATAATACATAAAATCGCAACGCGTATCCGTAAATCGCAATGCGATATTTAAAGCACCATTATAATCGCTACGCGTATTTTATTTTCAAATTACAAAAAGAATATTAAGACAAAATCCCGTAATCGCAACTCATAACCTAAAACCTAAAATCACAACTCAGTCCCATCTCCATCTCTCACTCTCTACGGCGAAGAAATCCGTCCCCATCTCCGAAGATTTCCGTCCCCATCTCCGGCGAAATCCCTCACAACCATTCACGGTCAGAAATCCCTCACAATATTCAGAAATGGAAAATCAACCTCCGAGGGTTAGTTTTTTAATTATTTTATTTTGAAATGTTTGCATTATTGTAGGTTTTTCATATTGAAACTGATGATAAGTTTACTGGTCATTTCAATAATAGATTAACCATTTCACTTAGATTTCATTTCGCGTTACGATTCTGTCGTTGCGATTTTCATTTCGCGTTGCTATTCTCTCGTTCCGATTTTCAAGTTAGTATTTGTCTTTGTCTTTGTTCTGTCTTTTGGTTGAAGTAATGCAATCCATTGAAGTTTCAATTTGCAGAAGAGTCGCAACGAGATAAATGAAAATCGCAACGAGAGAATGACTGTCGCAACGAGAGAAATGAAAATCGCAACGAGAGAATCGCAACGCGAAATGAAAATCGCAACGAGAGAATCGCAACGCGAAACCAAAATCGCATTGCGATTTTATTTCGCGTTGCGATTCTCTCGTTGCGATTTTCATTTCGCGTTGCGATTCTCTCGTTGCGATTGTCATCTCGCGTTGCGATTCTCTCGTTGCGATTTTCATTTCAACCAAAAGACAAAACAGTGTTGCAAATTTTAGTTTCAAGAATAAACTACTACTTTTTATGTTTATTGTTTTTGGTATATCTTCACAGTGTAGTTTTTGGTATATCTAACTTGGTATGTTTATTGTTTTTGTAGAAATTTTTTTCGGCTCAATTGACATTGAGAAATAAAGTCAGCCTGGCCACTACAATTGCAAAGAAGCTTTCACCTGCTCAAAGACAATTGTTTGAGGAAACCTGCTTCGGGCCATGGCTGAGAGTACAGCATCCGGGTGGAGATGCTAATTTGACCCATTTGTGGCTTCAGACCATGACATCAAATCTACCCGACAGTATACAACGTGGTGAGGAAGAGATATGGTTTCATTTTCCACCAGCGTATACTTGTTTTGGGCGGAAGGAGTTCTGCTTAATCACTGGTCTACGATTCGGACACGATGATGTAGGCCGGTACACTCGTCATATCGCCCGCCCATCATGGTTATCCCGGGTTTTTCCGGATGAGTTAATGGAGAAGCCGAACCTACATGTCGACGACCTGAAGAAATTGTTTAATAAGAAAGCTGGTTTCACTCGGATGGATGACGTCGATGTTGTCCGAGTATGCCTTCTACTACTTGTGTATGCCGGCTTTTTAGGCAGAGAGGCCAGACAACCTATTCATCGGGAGCTAATAATATTGGTAGAGGACCTGAATGCATGGAATCTGTTTCCGTGGGGTTCGTATATATGGAAAGCTACCTGGACTAAGTTGTCGTCTGCCTTTGATGACCGCAAAAGTTTGCGGGGCGATGGGTCCAAATACACTTTGTCAGGCTTTGTTTGGGCCTTTAAGGTAAGAATTTCTATATAATGTTTCTAAAATTATAATTAATTATTTAACAATTACTAATTTTGTTATTATATTGTTTGTAGATTTGGATATTCGAGGCTTTCCCCAGCATGCGTACATATGCAATAAAACGTCAAATGATATTCCCAGGGCTATTTCCTGGAAGAGGAAAACTCTGTTGGATTGGGAAGACTTAATACCATATGCCACAATAAATAATGTAAGTTAACACAAATACTTTCATATAATATATAAACAAGTTATTAATAGTAGACGTTTAACTTTGTTTGAGTTTTTATATTTTAGGAGGCTAACATTCCATTACAAAGACTGACACCCACGGAGGAAGAGCTTGCCACTGATTGGTGGCAAGCTAGTCAGAATTTTTTTGATGGCACGGATGATGAGCAGCATCCACTTCCTCCAATTCGAGAGCCATCACCTCACCTAGAGCCATCACCCGATCGACCCGACTATACACCTCTAGAACGAGAGCCATCACCTATCCCGTCACATCATCGAGCCTCTTCTCCACCATCACCTCATGATAGGCGACCGGCAAAGATGCCACGACTCCTATCTCCCTGTTCTCCACCTCCACCTCAACGGGATGAGTCAAGGGAGTTACGTGATGAGGTCAATGCCTTGCGTGAGGAGATCGGTACTCTACGCGATAACGATGGTGCATGGCGTGTGGAGGTGTCAACTTTACGTGGTGAGGTTGCCGCTCTACGTGAGATGATAGTATCGTTGCAGAATGAGGTTCATACTCTACGCAACGAGGTAAGTTTAAGATTTTCCATATTTAACTTAATGATAAATTTACTCGTAATTTCACTTAGATTAGCCATTTCACTTAGATTGCTTAGTAAATTTATTCGGTTGCTGCCAATTCTGCTAAACTGTGTATTCTTTAACACTGTGAAATAGTATTTGTCTTTGTTTTGTCTTTTGGTTGAAAGTAAATTTGTTCGGTTGCTGCCAATTCTGCTAAACTGTGTATTCTTTAACAC